GTTACCTAAGAGGCAGTGGTCCTTTCTGGACCTCTCCCCATCCAGCTGCTGAGAATTGCCAGGCTGGGAGGCCAGGCCCAAGGTCATCTGCCCCGAGCTCCCTCTGCAGCTCAGGCTTCTGTGGTTCCCAGTGAAGCGGCTGGCTTCCTGCCTCCCAGGGTGCTCAGCAGGACCCGGTGCCAGCAGCCAAGGTCAGGGCACTGGCTGGTGATGCAGCCCTACAGAAAGGTTACTGCTGCCCATCCTCCAAAACACAGTCTGCAGGCTTCACATTGACAGCCCACAGCCTAGGTGGCATTGGGTGACTCGGGTGAGGTGGGACACAAGACAGAGCATGGCTCCCTCTTTGGCATCAAGCCTGTTTGGGTGTATTTGTGAATGACAGGCCTTGTCATACACTTTCCATGCCCAGCGTGGGACATGGAGTGGCTGCAGCAGTGACTCTCATAAGACCTTCACCTGGAGAGTGGGGGACACAGGCTTTCTGAACTCCCAGCTGAAGGCCCACCTCTGGGCACCCCAAAGGAGGCTTGGAGAGAGACTGGAAGTTCTTTCTGAGATGTGTCTACGCAGTTCTTGGCCTGTTCAGGAGCTGGCAAGGGTTAGGGGGTGACAGGGACTTCAGAGGCTGCTGTACTTCTATCCCCGGGCACTGCTGTCAGCCCCGCAAGCTGTGCTTTCAGGATTGCAGTGGACACCAGCCCCTCCATGGAAGGTAGAGTGACCCACATGGGCATTAACATATGACCCTGTGGCTGGTGGGTGCTCAAGGCCCTACCTGCTGGGATGGCCCTGGTTACTGTGCCATCAGCATTGAGCTGAACTGAGGACCTCCATATCTTCTGGGAAGAAGGGCACTGTCCGGCCCACCTTCCCCAGATGAGATACCCTGGACATCTTCACTCTCTGATTCAGCCTCTACAGCCAGCAGAGAGACTGGCTATGACAGGCAGTCAGGTCAGCTGTGGCTGAGCCTGGGACTCAGGCTGAAGGCCAGGGGAAGAGGGATTCAGGCAGGAGTGTGCTCATGACCTTGGTCTCATTACCATTTTGTGAGCACAACCAAGTTCACTCTCAAAGATCTCTTTCACATGCTCTTGACCAGTCTTTAACCAACTGCCGGTTCCACTTGGCATTCAAGGTCCACCAAAGCCTGGCTTCCAAATGCCTCTTAGCTTTATCTGCCCATCCCCTCCTCTCCAGCTAGTGTGGCTAATAAACAGGGTGATCATAATGAACATCTATGTACAGCAATTTCCATACTAAGCTCCCTCTGAGGTCAGAGAGATTATCCTGTTCATTTTACAGATGGCTCAGAGATGGTAAGACACTTGCCTAAAATCACACAGCCAGTAAGGCCACAACCCACATCTGGACTTCTGTCTTTCAAATCCTTCAGGAATGTCCTAGAGTTATGTCCCAGCCTGTAATGCACATTTCCTTGCTGGGGCCCAAGGGGATGGGGAAGAAAGATGTTCTCTTCACCAGTCAGCATCAGTTACACCAGTGGCTCTGTAAGTCAATAGGCACTCTCCCTGTGCACGGCCTGTATGCAGAACAGAGATGGCTAACTCCTTGAAGAGTCATGCTCCCCTTGCATTGTGAAGATGAGGCCCGAAAGCAGCTGCCACACCAAGGACTACATTTCCCAGCAGCCCCTACATCTGTGTTGGACCATGTGACTGAGTTCTGGCTGATGGAAGAGGATAGAAGTAATATTTACCACTTTTAGACCTGGTGCTTAAAAACCACCTTGCCATTTTTCTGAACCAGCTTTTCTCTGAGAGAGTTAAGTGCTGCCAGAATGATTTGAGTGGCTATTTTCTCAGTCTCCCACGAATGATAGATACTTAGGGCTGTCCTAAATGCATAGGAAATAAGTTGATTCATTATACACAATGCATACCTGAGAGCATTACAGCTTCATTCTCTCAGAGCAGTGAGGTGACAAGGGCTGCTTCTGTCTCTCCTCCCTGGTCTATGTCATGCCCAGAGTGACTTTGGAAGCCTCTTGCTGAGGCCAGTAGTCTGAGCCTGGGTCCCTGAATGACTGCATGGAACAGAGCCACCACATGCCCTGGGGCACTCCAGAGCAGGACTTGGTGTGAAAGAGGAATATGACATTTGAATAGTGTCAAGTCACTGACATTTGGGGGTTTATTTGTTCACAGCACCTAGTGATATCTTATTGCAGAGGCTGGAAAGTTCCCAGGCCCTCTACCGGTCCCTACCTTCCCCAATAGCCTGAGGGGACAGTCTTGTAGGGCCCTGTGTGGCATCCAAGAGGGATGAGGCCTTGGGATCAAGCCAGTAGCCTGAGATGCACTGAGGAGGTGGCCACAGTGGGTAGAGCTGAATGAGAAGCAGAACTGGACTGATATGCCAGACAGACTGCAGGCTCAACTGTCAGAGGGCTTGAGAGTTAGCCAGAGAGGCAGGATGAGACCCTGACGAGAAAGACCTGCCCCTTCGGTTTCTGCAGATAGTTCAGGAGCCCACGGGCAGACCAACCTTTGAGAACTACCACTGTAGGGGCGCGACAATGTGCTCTGCCACATCTAGGAGGTTTCACACGCGCCTGTCCCCAAAGCCAGCCTCCGGGGCGGTGTGGCCAGGAGAGATTTCCCCGTGGGACTCTGTATCAAACAAGGCTGAGGGGAGGGGCTGAGAGAGGGAGTCACCTGCTCACAGTCAGGCACTGGGGTGGGCCCAGCTTGGAGCAGGGGGAGAGAGTGGGGATACCTTGGAAGAAGGGGCACACTGGGCAGGCCTTTCTACCCTCCATAACCTCCCCCCCTCCTCCACCTCTGCCCACAGCTCCTACAGCTCCAGAGCCGCCTGCTGGGAGAAGTCAGGCCATCATTTTCTCTCCTCCTTTTGCCTTCCCACATCCTCCCCTCCACACTCCAGCCTCTCAGCTCCCTAAGAAAGCAAGCCTTCCCCTCTGGGTGTCAAGTTCTTAACAGTGACTTGGGTCTCAGTCCTTACTGCCGACGCCCCTGAAGACAAAGGGTGGGGAGCTGCGATTTATAGCACAGTACAGAGCTGGTGCCTAGGGCCATCCTCCATTTAGCCAAAGAGAGCAGCGGTTCCACAGCCAGCCCCCTCCACGCGCTTGGACAAAGTCTGTTCAACTGAGCACGCGGCATAGAAACCAACACAACCTGCGTTTTAACTGCCTCCCGCTCTCCACCACGCGCCAGTGCCGGCACCAGGGGATAGCTCCTTTCCACTATCAGGGCTGGCAGAGTGCTGGCCCCTTGCCACCATCAGAGCTCAGCCCTCAGGTTCCAGTTCTCCAAACCCAAAAGAGGTCGCCTCCCCACCCTACAGCCTCCATCGAACCTGGAGGTCTCTGTCAGGGCAGCCCCCTCCCCCATTCATAAATGCACATCATAAATGCTTCCAGAGGCCAGGAGTAAAGACAGAGAAACGACGGAAAGACGGTTCCTAAGGGAGGGCGCTCCCGACCTAGCTAGGAATGAGTAGCACATGCAAATGAGCCAAGAGGGTGGGTGCTGGTTCCGGGGTCCCCCAGGGCGTTCCCGTACAACCCTCGCCCTGCGCCCTCCTGGTGCGTGCGCCCCTTCTCCGCGCCCTTACCTGAGCCGTTCCTCTGGCGCAGCAGAACCGCCTGTCCGGATGGTGGCGACGCTGAGGAAGCAGCAGCAGCTGCCGCGACAGTGGTGGTGGCCGTGTGGGCCGCGGAGGCTGCCGCGGCCTCGGGGACTGAGGGACCTGCGGCGGCGGGAGGGCTCCCGGGCGGCGGGGTCTTGTCTCCGCGGCCGGGCTCCGAGGTGGTACGGCCCGCTGCGCCCGCATTGTTGGCGTTGGCGGCACTGGCTGGGCCGTGGCGACGCGGGCCGCTGCTCTGGATATGGGACACGGCCTCGGCGGCCTGCATGTTGGGCGGCGCGAAGCGCGAGAGCACGCGCAACAGCGCCTGGGCCTTGTGCTCCTGCGTGTCGTCGTCGCTGTAGTCCGACACGCGGCACTCGTACACGCCCTCGTCCTGCAGCCGCACGGCAGACAGCCGAAGCCGGTGTGAGATGTCATTGCCCTGGACGCGCACGGTCTGCAAGAGAGCAGGGTTAGAGGCCGGGCTGGGCAGCTCCCAAACCTGCTCTTCTGGCCGCCTTGGCCGTCGCGCCCCCTCATCCGTGCACCCCACTTCCCGGACCCTGGTTTGCCCACCATCACGATCCGGCTTCCCTTTCAACCCCGGCTGCCCCGTGGCATCGGGCTTACAACTCTGCGTGGACGCCGGGCCGCCTGCTCTGTGTCCCCACCATCTTAACCAAACTCCTGCCCACTGCCCTGCCCATACAAACCAACACTGCTCGTCTTCCCGTAGCTGGTCCTTCAGACGGACAGAGCCCACCTCTCCTTCCTCCCTCCCTCACTTTCAGGAACCCCCAGGCTCCCTGTTCACTAACTGCCCCAAGTCTTTCCCACCGCGACTCGCTCCAGCCTACAGCGCCGCCCCAGCCGGCCCTCCACACCTCCCTGCCCACGGAGGGCCTGCCTGAATGGCGTCCTAAGGAGAGCCACCCTGTCCCCAGACCCCGCCTTCACAGCTAACACTCCACCCTCCCAAGGAGGCAGGCTAAGCTGAGGCTGCTGCCCGGCTCCCTGGACACCCCGCCTGTGCGCAGGGTCTCCAGAAGCCCTCAGCGAAGTGCTCCTCCACAGCGCCCGGGTGGGGACTTCTGGACGGAACCTCTCTGTGGCTCTCACCAAACATCCAGGGAACCCTCACCTCTAACTGAGCCCACGAGGAGGCTTCGTCATCACCAGGCCCTTCTACGCTCCAGCTGGGAAGCTTGGGCTCATCTCCTCTCAGTTACCAACCCCAAGACCTGGGACCCGTGCACGACCACCCCCTGCCCAATCCCCTCGCAAGCCTGCAACACCCCGCACCCAGACCCGCAATCCAGGCGGAGGACAGAGGGTTGCAGCGGAGAGTGCGGAGCGGATGCTCAGGGCGGGGAGGAGGGGGCGGGAAGCTGGAGCCACGGTCGCCGCGAGGGCGAGCAGCCGCGCGCTCCCGGTGCTGGGAGGAATGCCCGCAGAACCAAGGCGATCAGACGCGAGGAGGCCTGAGCACATGGTTGGGACCAAGGGGAGTTTTACAGGTGAGCGCCAAGCCGCATCAGGGGACTCAGGCCTTGGACCCTTGATTTACACAAAAGAGAACCCGACCCTGCAACCGGCGACAGATGGCGCCCGGACACGCCAAGCAGCCGCCAATACGAGGCTGCAATCGCGGCCTTACATGCGCAGCCCCCCTTGCGCGGCCGCTGTGGCGTGCTAAGGGGAGGGAGCTGCGGGGCGCGAGGCGGCCAGAAGGGGTCTCCCGCGGCCCGCGCTGGGCTCCACACTTACGCTGATTTTAGTTGCATCCTTATTTGTTACCTAAAATGCAAAGAGGGAGAGAGAGAGACATGAGGCTCGAGGCCTTCTGGCTGGGGGAACTCAGATCCGCCTTTAGGCAAGGGCACCCTCCGCGGGCGGGTTAGGACTGAAACCGCCTGGAGGGTGGGGGTTGAGGGCACAAAGGACGTCCGGATTTCCAGGAGTTTCCCGGGAGAAAGCGGGGTTTGGAGCTAGCATGGTGTGGTGCCTGGCCAAGGGGTGGCTGCCCTGGTGCACACCTGCCGGCTGAACTGGGGAGACTGGATGGCCACCAGGGTGGGAAGGAAGGCCCCTCTCCTTCTCGTCTGGCATCCTTAGGCCCTGCCCGGTGGCTCAAAATCCTCCCCCAGCTCACTGGGAGCCGTGAAGAACTGGAGGGAGGGGTCCTGTGTCTGGACGGGACCCTGCGGGAGGCTCAGTGGCAGTAACTCTGGTTGGGACCCTGGGAGAATGTAGGTGTGTATGTGCACGCATGCACCCTAGAGTGTGGGTTTGGAGTGTAAGAAGTGTGTGGGTTTTGAGGCATACGGGCAGCGTGGGCCTGTTTTCAGCCACAGGGAGGTTGCCCCTGTATTGCCCTGAGGGCTGGAGGTCCTGCCGGCTTCCCGGTACTCGGTTTTCTGCTGGCCTCTGGAACGCAGTCCAGGGAAGCCCTGGGGTCCTCAAAGTGGCAGAGGGCAGGGACAGCCTGATGGGACCAAGAGGGTTTCCTTCACTACTCAGCACCCATCAGATGCTGGGGCCGCAGCCAGCAAGCACGGGCCAGCGACCTGGGTGAGGTGTGGCTCTTTAGGGGCTGGGCGTGAATAGAGTTCCGGGAGGTGGCGGGAACAGGGATGCTGTCAAAACAATTGACAGGTTTGGGGGTAACAACTGCTGAGTTTGAAGATGCTTGCGAGGGTGGAAGATGGGCCACGCCACAGGGCGGCGCCCTGCGCGGGTGAAGCCGGCTGCTTCCCTCCCCGGGTAGCCCTCGCCGCCCCGGGCCCGAGCCAGGAGCGCCGACACCGCGTGGGCGGCGGGTTACCTTGCTCCGGGCACCGGGCACGCTGAGCGCCAGCTCGTGCAGCAGCTCCCGGGGCGGCTCCTTGAGGTACCACCACTGAATCTCCAGCGAATACGAGGTGGCTCCGCTGGCCCGGAACGCACAGGGCATTTCGATGTCGTCTCCCTCCCGTACTGTCACATCTTTGGGGACTTCTGTGAATGTAGCTGGGGGTTGGGGGAAAGAGAGGCGTGACCAGCTGTAGGGCGGGGGCCTGGGGCAACCCAAAGGGAAGCGGTCGGTCTCTGGCTGTCTGCCTTATGCCCCCCACCCCGCAGCTGTTCCGTGGCGCACGGCCGGAGGCGCTAGCAAAGTTCGGGGAAGCGGCAGCAGGGCCGCGACAGGGACTGGCCACCGGCAGCCCGCTGCTTCCCTCTGGATCGCTCCGGGCGGTAGGGGCAGCTCGTGCTTCTCTCCCGCGCCGGGCCGCATGGTCGGAGTCTGGCTGGGGCTCGCAACTCCCGCTCCCCAGAGGCCGCCTTTCCGCAGCTCGGCCCCAGCTGGACTGGGAACGACTCGGGCGCTGCGCTGCCACTGCGGCGACCCTTCGCGGCTCGCCTCCCTCTACCCCTCCGGGCCCCGGGCTGCACAGCGGAATTGCTGGAGACCGCGTAGCTTCCCAGTTCTAGGCGGCGGCCCCAGCAAAGAACCCCCCCACCCCCACCCCTCGAGCCCACCGCGGCAGCAAAGTTCCCGCGCTCACCGTCGGCCAGGAAGAGCAGCAGGGCATGCAGCAGCAGAGGCGGCAGGTATCCGAGGGCACCGAGCCGGTTCCGCTGTTCCATCTCCCGCGGGGGGCGCGGCGGCGGTGGCGGGGGCCGGGGAGCGGAGAGGCGGCGGCCGCGTGGGCTCGGATCGGCTCCGGCTCCAGCTAGGACGCCTCCGAGCCTGCCATGGCCCCGCGCGGCGCCCCCTCCCCTGGCCGCCGGTGGCCGCCAATCAGCCCAGCTCCCTCGCCGGCCTGCCCGGCGCGGCTCCGGCGGGGGGCGCTGCGCGGGGTATGCGAGAGCCGCGGTCCCGCCGGGAGGGTGCTGGCGATCGGTCAGTGCCTCTCTCTGTTCCTTCGTCCACAGGACGGTGGGGATACGCGGTTCAGTCTTTGCCCGGAGGGCCGGGCAGGGGCTGGGCCGCGCCGGGACCCATCCCTGGCCGAGGGAGCGCGCGCCTCGGAGCCGCGAGCTTCTGCCTCCCTGTCTCCTTCTGGTTCTGCTCCCGACTGCCACCTCCTTCGGCTCCTGCCGCCGCCCCCGCCGGTTCCTCCACGGCTCTTTCCGCAGGGCGAGTGGGCGCTCAGCCGCGGCGCGCAGACCTGGCGTCCGACCCAGCGCAGCGCGGGGAGAGCGGGTCCGGCGTGGCGGACCCGGAGCCGGAGAGAGGCGGGGAGAGGGGGAGGGGAGGGGAAGGGAGGGGGCGGTCAGTGGCTGGGCTCCAAGCCTCCTCCACCGCTGCATCGCCCCCGCCCTCCCCTCTCCTGCCACAGCCCGCCCCGCCCCCGCCCCGGAGCGCACCCTCTTTCTCCGTGGGGGTCGCTCGGAGGGACCACCGTCTTTCTGGTTAGAGCACAGCCCCGCCCCACTCCCGCTTGGGTTGGGAGTCCTCCCACCCAAACTCTCCCTGGCTTCTTCCTAGTCTCCACCGCTCCAGACGGCCGCTCATCCCTGCTCCCCGTGTGTCCCGCGGTCCTCTCCGCAGCTCCCAGTCCTCAACTCCTTACCCCAGTTTGGGCAACCAGCTACTCCGCTGTTTGGCCCAGGCCCGGGCCATGGCGGGTGGGTGGGCGCCCGGGGCCGCGAGAAGGGCTGAACGCTGTGCCCAGCCGGGGACAAGGCTGGGTGGCGGCGCCGGCGCCGGGAGTCTGCAGTGCGCGAGGGAGAAGTGAGCGCACAGCTCCCAGTGAGCAGGTGCCTGTGGCGCGGAGAGCGCACCCGCGAGCCAGCCAGCAGCGGCCGTGAGTGACGGCAGGGGTGGCGGGGGTGGTGTGGGGAGCGCCTGGCACGACTCAGGGCCCGGGAGGTTTCCAGGCGGGGGCGGGGTTCCTGCCCCTGGATCGCGGGTTCCTGCATCTCCACGCGCTCTTCGCCGGTCGTGAGCCCTTCTTTACCCCGTACAAAGCGAGATCCCGAGGCGGCAGGAGGCCGGAACCCATCCCTCGCCTGCTCTGGCATACCGGGCATCCCGGTACCTCCCTCAGCCTTCACCCGGAGCCTACCCCCTCCCCAGCCATGTGAGGGAGCGCGGTCTGGTCCCCAAGGGAAACGCGGGGTGGACAAGTGGTTCGGAAGCGATGCGTAGTCAAGTCCCAAGACTCGCCTCGGGTATCTCCTCTCTCTTTCTCCGTGGGAGTCCCTAGCCAGCGCATTTCAGCACCTCTGCCCCTACCCCGGCCCCCACGCCTCAGCTCTGACCTGAGGTTGGGATGCGGCAGCCTGGTGGATTCACGTGTCTGCTTCCCCGGCCACCAGCCCCAGCCTCCCGGAGGCAACGCCAGAGGGTTCCCAGGGGGCCAAGGAGAAGGCAACCCAGAGGGAGGACACTTTCCAGCAGCCACCCTGGTCCAGGCGGCCAACGCAGCACAGCACAGCTCAGAGGGGGAGGAGCCGCAGGCCCTCTCCAAGGCTGTCTTCGCCAGCGGGGTGCCTGGGCCGGCCCTTCCTGCCTCCCTCTGCCTGCCTTTTAGTTTCCTCGTTTATGGCCCAGGAGTCACTCCCAACCCCTGGCTCACTGTGGCTCATCTATCAAGCCCCTGTTTGCTAAGATCTCCTGCTGCCAGCAGGGGGATCAAGGGGGTACTGTAGGACTTCCCTCTTTCCCTCAAGTTCCTCTCTAGGGGCTCCACAGAGGCAGTTGCCAGCTCCTTCGCTCATGGCAGGAGCTTTTCCCTGGAAATCCCATGTGCCCTTAGAAACCACTCTGGACCTCCAAATGTAAGACCCTGCCAGTCCCCATTGCTGTCCTCAGCTTCTGAAGGGAGAGGGCAGGCTTGCACCACGCTATGCAGATTCAGGTTCATGGTGGGGTTCCAGGAAAGCAGGCTCGTTTGGGGACTGATTCCAAGCAAGGGTCTGAAGGAAGAGCTAGCCCACTGAGCAGCTGCCCACCTGGAGAGGCATTGGTCTCCTTTCCTGGTACCAGATCCAAGCAGAGGCTAATACTAAAGATCAGCGATGCCTATAGGAGAATCCCTGTAGCTGGAGGGAATTACCTGGAAGGTTTACTGATCCTTTATCCCTGTACTGCCTTTTGGAGTTAGGTGTTTCTTGTCTACTGCCTGAGTTGGTATTGCTCTAAGAAGGACAGATACATGTTTTCACATGCTTTTCATGTACTAGACACTGGTTGCGCACTTTTAAGCATCAGTTCTCAACGTGACAGAGATCCTTCTCACAGGGAAATCAGATCTCTCTTCCATGGCTGAAACCCCGCAGTGGCTCCCATTTCACTTGGCATAAACACCAGTGGCCTTGCAGTGGCTGCCAAGGTCAAAACCGTCTGCCTTCCTGCTTCCTGCTCGCCCCCTTCCTTCATGTCCTCATCTTTTCTGTCTTCTCCATAGCTCACACTTTCCTAGCCACACAGCCCTTCCTACAATGCAGCTCACTGGGCAGGCTCCTACCCCAGGGCCCTTGCACCAGCTGCATCATCCGGCTGACATGCTTCTCCCGCAGATACCTGCTT